TCTATCTATCTATCTATCTATCTATCTATCTATCTATCTATCTATCTATCTATCTATCTATCTATCTCTTTATTCATTCAGCTCATATGCTGCCTATTTCGCCTGGAGATGACTTTAATAATTAAAAACCAATAAAACATTACATCAATAAATAGTAACATTAAATTAGGGAGATAGGAAGCAACATACACATGGGTGGAAGATGGGGTCGTAGTCCATTAACCACATCCAGAAAGATTGCCCCCATTGGAATACTAGGCCATTTGACAGAGGCAGGGCTTTAGGCTTTTCAGAAAGTCAGAAGGGTGGGTGTGGATCTCACCTTGGGGTTAAACCTGGGGGGACAGCTTTTGATGTCAAAATGGGATACTCTTGAGTTTTAATCACAGGCAGCTATGATTAAAAGATGACTGGGTGACTATGGGCTCATCAATCTCTTTTAGTCCAACTCACCTCAAAGCATTGTGTTGTGGAGGATATAGGTGAAAATATATTACATATTATATCATGATGTTTTATCAAGGGTGGAAGTGCTTTATGGGGTGTAAAACAGCCTTTCCAAGGCTATCACAACTGAATAATCATTAAATCCAGTGATAAAATAAATACTAAATACTTTGTTATCTATCTTGTAGATGTGTTTATACCCATGCCGGAAAACTTATTAGTAAATTTAAACGAAAGCAAAGAGGTAAGAGTAATATTATATGTTGTAAGTATAAGCAAAAGTATATTTTAAGCAATTGAAAGACTTTAAGACTACATTTTAAGACTTTGAAATATTATTTTGCCTATTCCATGTAATAAAATCTAAAACATATTTTGGCCTAAGGAACAAAATAACTTCAGTTAAAATGTTTGATACCTAATAATGGGACAAATGGCAGCCATCAGTGTGAAGAGTGACTCCAGTCCACTTTTCACCCTAAGCAAAATCTTCCCAGATAATTGGACAAGACTGGGTCTGAGTTATCTACACCAGATTGGTATAGTCAGAGGGCAACTACTGAGCTTCTGGTTCATTTGTGTAACCTACACTCTCACCCACTGTACTGTATAACTGACTTTTAAAGCTCTAAGGATCTGATTAGTTATTGTACTGATAAGCTTGGAACCGAAAATCAACTTTTGAAGCTTTCAGTTCTATCAGATGACATGATGCTGTTACACGTTCTTTAATAAATAAACAAAATAAACAACCACTGAGTGATTAAGGTCTCCTTGTTGGAGAAACCCTGATTGTGGAAGGTATTTCCAATGGTGGTACATTGGCACATACATTTTAACACTAGACAAAAAAAATTCACAGTACTACTGTTGATTTTATTTTAAGTTTTATTTTTTTAAGCTGTAATGTGAGCTTCAAATATTGGATAATATAAAAATGGATAAATATAGCAAATAAAAAGATGGAAATTTGATTGATTTCAGCTGATTCAAGATTTATTGAGAACTTTGCCTCAGATGTTCATTAAATCTTTGGAAACCCAAAGTGCTTTGGGACCTGCACTTCAGGCTGCCTTTAAACTTATGTCATCTACTGGGGGTCGGATTACTGTCTTCCAAACTCAGCTTCCATCTTTAGGAGCAGGTGCACTCAAACCACGGGAAGAGCCTAACCAAAAAGCATCTACAAAGGTTAGCAAAACAAACTTTTACGCCTGATTTTTAAGTGTCTCTTAAAATCTATTTTTATTGTAACAGTTCTTTTTAAAAATAGTTCTAGTCTGCAATGGAGCTGCAAAAATGCAAATTTTTCAACAGAAGAATATCTTCTAAACCACAGGAAACTATAGTTCTCCTTTATTCTGCTTTGGTCAGATTTAACATTGAGTTCTGAGTACTATAATTTAAGAAAGATTCAGAGAGACTGGGACAGGTTCAAAACATGGCAGTGAGAATGATCAACAAAGCAGAAACTATTGTATGAAGATACATTTGAAGGCACTAGGCATATTTAGCCCTGAGAAAGAAAACTAAGGAAGATTAGAGCCGAGGTGGCGCAGTGGTTAGAGAGTATTATTGCAGGCTACTTCAGCTGACTGCTAGCTGCAGTTCGGCAGTTCAAATTTCACCAGCTCAAGATTGATTCAGCCTTCCATCCTTCTGAGGTGGATAAAATGAGTACCTGGATTGTTGGGGGTCAATATGCTGACTGTTAAACTGCTTAGAGAGGGCTGTAAAAGCACTATGAAGCGGTATATAAATCTAAGTGCTATTGCTATTGCTAAGATATAATACCACTATTCATATATCTGAAAAGATAATGCACAGAATAGGTTATGTACCGCTATAAGAATTACAGATATAAGTTACAGGGAGGCAGAGTCTGACTGCGTATTAGAAAACTTGCTAAAAGTAGAGCAGTTCAACTGTAGAATTTATTTCTAGACAGGTGGTGAACTTTTTTGAGGTGTCCATGTGTACTCTATAAGTCAGTATTTACTCTGGTGACTGTCTGGAAAAATGCCTATAGTTTTCTTGGCAAGATTTCAGAAGTGGCTTACCATTGCCGTCTTCGTAGGGCTGAGAGTGGGATTAGCTCAAAGTCATCCAACTGGCTGTGCCTAGAACGCTCAGTCTCTTGGGTTCTAGCTTGATATCTTAACCACTATATCAAACTAATTTTTGATTGTCTCTACAGGATGAATATAAGTATGAGCTGTTATAGATTATTTAATTTCATTTGTTATACTAAAAGGCTATTGAACCTAATGCCTAAATGGCCATTTTCAATTTTGATTGACTACTAGAAAGCCTAGACTCAAGCCATTGTATAACGAAATCCTTGCGTTAGTTTGAACATTGCTAGTATTTTTTTTAAATATTGGGCAATAGCTAGTGTAAATCATTTGAACAATGCTGTCCTTACAGTAAGGCTGTGAACAAAGCCTCACTTTTCAACCGTCTACACAGCTGCAACTTCCTTTTACCCAGCGTTCCTGGTGAAAGCATACACACCAAAGATGTTTTCGGTGTGTATGCACTGCATACATACACAAGCATACGGAGGCAATTTAGCACAAAAAAGCTGTGCTAAACCCTTGGGAGGATGCAGCTGCTTCAGTGCTTTAATGAGTATTGCTTTGTTGGTGGAATGAATATGAATGAAACACCCCTTCAAGTGCATTTTTTGCCTTTTACCAGGATGTTCCTCTGACACCATCTACTGACTTCTATAAAAAATTGGCCTTGGATTGCTCAGGACAACAGGTTGCGGTTGACTTGTTTCTTCTTAGTGGGCAGTACTCTGACTTGGCTTCATTAGGTAAGACATACTTGTTGCTCTCTATTTAAGAATGCTTTGTTGAAATTATAATCTGTAGATTACAGATTATAATCAGGGGTGATTATAATAAAATATGATTGTCGTTTATCGAAACTGTTTCGTAAAACTATATATATGCATGAGGAACCCTGTTCTACTGGTTTGCTTTCTTTCCTGCTTGATTAATAAAGGTATAATTACAGATTTTAAATTGTAAAAACTAAAACATTACAATCAAAAGATGGAGCAATACATTTCAGTAATGATCTATTTCCAGTTCATAATCTTTAAAAATCTGTTTTTTAGGAAAGAAATGTATTCCACTTCAGTAGTGAGATTACTGCTTGAAAAAAATGTGCATGTTTCTTTTTCTTACTGTAAAACTTCTATTTTTTATATTATATTACTTTTAAGTCTAAAAATGAAATAAATTTACTTTTTTTTTAGGGTGTATATCAAGGTATTCTGCTGGTAGTGTATATTATTATCAAGCTTACCATCATCAACACAATCCTCTTATGGTGGAGAAATTACAGAAAGAACTAAAGCGATATTTAACTAGGAAGATTGGCTTTGAAGCTGTCATGAGGATAAGATGTACCAAAGGTCAGACCCTTAGCCTGCCAGTGTTAATTGAAGCATTGTGATAATTGCCTAAATAAGTTAAAAGGTGCATGTAAATATTTGAAATTGTAAGTAGCCTTGAATTTGGAATTCTGACAAATGATGTTTGATACTCAGCATTGCTTAAGTTATTATTCTTTCTTTACAGTCTTAATGTATGAGCTTTTATGAGAGAGTTGTCATAGAATATTATAAACCAATTGTATAATCAGTGAAGGCTATTTCCACATGTGTAAATTTGAGATTGTTGATCTCAAAGATCATGGAAACATGGCATCCTGTTCCCCAGGGGCAAGGTCTTTCATATATTGGATGGTTACAGTGGAAGCAGCTCTCCCTCCCTCCTTTTCCTAGAGCTTGCTATATTGTTAAATAAATTGGCTCAGGGGAATCTGATCTGCCTATCATAGCAATAGCAATAGCAGTAGACTTATATACCGCTTCATAGGGCTTTCAGCCCTCTCTAAGCGGTTTACAGAGAGTCAGCATATTGCCCCCAACAATCTGGGTCCTCATTTTACCCACCTCGGAAGGATGGAAGGCTGAGTCAACCCTGAGCCGGTGAGATTTGAACCGCTGAACTGCTGATCTAGCAGTAGCCTGCAGTGCTGCATTTAACCACTGCGCCACCTTGGCTATCATAGCAGATTGGTACTGCTAGGAAGATTTTTAAAGAATGCATTGTAAATCCAAAGGTAAATTTATGCCTTGAATGTTCTTTTTTGGTAAAAGGATAGATTTTGGGGGGTTGGGGGAAAGAGGACATCTTGAATCAATAGGTAATGCAAAATGAGCTGCACACAGGAATGAACTTGCTTTGGAATTTATAGGGATGCGGTGGCTCAGTGGCTAAGACTTCTGATCGAGCTTGTCGATCAGAAAGGTTGGCAGTTTGGCAGTTCGAATCCCTAGCGCTGCGTAATGGAGTGAGCTCCCATTACTTGTCCCAGCTTCTGCTAACCTAGCAGTTTGAAAGCATGTAAAAATGCAAGTAGAAAAATAGGGACCACTTTGGTGGGAAGGTAACAGCGTTCTATGCGCCTTTGGCATTTAAACATGCTGGCTACATGACCCCTGAGAAATCTTCAGACTGTGCTGGCTCTTCAGCTTTGAAATGGAGATTAGCATTGTACCCTAGAGTCGGGAACGACTTGCACATATGTGCGAGGGGAACCTTTACCTTTACCTTTGTATTTATGAATGAGATGATTTTTTCTAAATTTAGGCTTATTTTAAGCACAGTTTTCAAATGTTTTCTCGCTTCAAAATAACATAGCCCTAAGTCTATACTTCTTCTTTACTATAAAAAAAGTACATATTTTAATTTTGGTTCAGTTCAGTTGTTGAAAACATAAAGAGACTTATAATGATAATGCTAGTAGTATATTTGCATAACTCATTTAAGAATATTGTAACCAACCTAAGCCGTTCAAGAGAGACTGGCTGCATTTAGATTGCCCTTTTTATGTGGTAAAATCCTCTCTGCTTGCACAAAGAAATACTGTTGCTCACTACATTGAGAATAATATTACAAAAGCTTTATAACAGTGGGGTGTGTTTGCCATACAGAAATTTCATTTCCCACACATTGCTTCTGCTTTGATGTTTTTACTTAGTGACAGTGCTTAAACATAATCTGTTGAAAATTGAAGAGTGAATACTAGTAATTTTAAACTTAATTAAAATGTTTTAAACATTATAATTCTTTTTCCAGGCCTTTCAATTCACACCTTCCATGGCAACTTCTTTGTACGGTCAACTGATCTATTGTCTCTGCCAAACGTGAATCCTGATGCAGGATATGCTGTCCAAATGTCAGTAGAGGAGAGCTTGACAGATATGCAGGTGGTCTGTTTTCAGTCAGCCCTCCTGTATACATCTAGTAAAGGTAAGCAGCCTGTGGCATCTGGTATACATTTCAAAGCCATATCCTCCATGCTTTTAACAAAAAATAGTTGTTATTAAACTCTTTAGATTTTTTGCAGTTTTCATGATTAAGAACTTCATAGGTTATTGGCAAATACTCATGACTTTCACTGTTAAATGGTGCTTTGGGTTTGAAAAAAACGGAAAATAACAAATTTGGTTAGAAACAGCAGCTTCTATTTAAATTTGTAAGATGAATGACTTTGTATAATTCTATACAAATTCTATACACCCCATGTCCGCAATAGAATTAATGTATCATGGTTTTTGAAGGATACCCTGGATTTATTTTAAATGCTATTAAAAACTACTTTTTTAACAGGTGAAAGAAGAATACGTGTCCACACATTGTGTTTACCTGTTGTAAGCCAATTGAGCGATGTTTATTTAGGAGCTGATGTACAAGCTATTACAGGCCTTTTAGCCAATATGGGTATGTGCTGAATTGTTGGATTGAATTGCACAATATTTTTTGATTCGTTGATACTATCTTTGTACAAAGTTTAAAGATTGGTGGTAATGAATGTTTTGGTTGAGATTGTTAGAATGCATAAAGGTGCTTTATAAAATGTATCTAAAAAGCTTGGCAACTGCCACAGCATAAAGAGATATAGATACTATGCAGTGTTGCTTTGTATTCTTTTTGGTAAATTGGATATCTCTGTGTGTGTGAGAGAGAGATTGAGCAAGTGAATGAATCATTAATATCCATTGTTAATACTCTTTATTGTGATTGTATTTTTGACATTCAATTGAACTATATTTTGTTCCTTTTCAGCTGTTGATCGGTCAGTTTCTGCTAGTTTGAGTGATGCTCGAGATGCATTGGTGAATGCTGTAATAGATTCTCTTTCTGCATACCGCTCATCTGTCCTAACCATTCAGCAACCAGGTCTTATGGCTCCTGCATCATTACGCCTGTTTCCATTGTTTATCCTGGCTCTTTTAAAACAGGTAAAAATAAAAACAGAAATTGCCTTAGAAATAGAAGTTGGCTAAGTAAATTTTGCTAAATTAATGATGACCATTTATAGTATTATAGTTAACTTTTTCCAGATATTTATATGCAGTAACAATTTTTTTAAAAAAACCTATTCTATATTGAGAATATAGCATGAAGTAAAAAAAGTATGGTTTAAATTTATGATCTTGACATCTGAATAACTTTTAGTTGTCTTGTTTTTCTGTTGCTACGTTTGCTTACAGAAAGCATTCCAAAGTAAAACAAATACCCGTTTAGATGAACGCATCTTTACAACGTGTCAAGTGAAAAGCCAACCATTAGTGTACCTCATGCTTATTATGCATCCCAATCTGTATAGAATTGACAATCTCACAGATGAGGTAAGTTCTTCATCTAAATTTGTCTGGAAATCATTGGATGTATCTTCCTAGTCTCAGATATTATACAAAATTGTACTAAAACATTTGACTTTAGTGCATATTTTATAGTAAAGGTATGCTTTTCAGATTCAGGGAGCAGTTTTCTTCAATATTATATGTCAGTCTTGCTTTTTCCAGACCTCAACTCTTGGAAGTTTGGAAAAAGGAAAACTTTTTCCCCTTCCCTATCTAAGCCTTGAGGGGTGATTTAGTTATGTGAATATTGACAATCAAGAACATTGCAAATAGGTACCAATATTTGACATAATAGGTGAAGGCATCAATTATGAAGGTAGCAATTATGACATACTTTGAGAGTAGATATAAATATAACAGCTGTTAAGTTATAGTATAAATTGTGACTTTTATGAATTGGATTATTAGTTGGCATGTACCAGAAATTTTATAAACTGTTTCTATTTTTGTATGTAGTTGTCTAATTTTGTGCTTGATATACTAATCATTTAGCCATCAAATTCAGTGTTTTAGTGTGTGTTTAAATGAATGGAGATATTAAATTATAATGGGTAAATTGCAAAGGACATTGAAATTGAATGTATGCAAGTAGAATATCTGATATTACAAATAGAATTAAATTTAAATGGTATGCATTCCTTCATTTTAACAAATGAAACAATATTATTTATATGCAAACTAAACATTGTTAAATTTCTTTCAAGAACAACTATGATTGGTTCGTGCAAATGTAAACACTTTTGATAGTGCAAGGAACAGAAATTGTATTCAATTTGCAAACCACTCTATCTGGAAACATTAACAATTGCTTAAAAATATTTCTCTTTATGTTATAGATATATGCTAATGATGTATGCTTTACACTTGATATCGGTCAGGGTGTGGCAGCCCATGTTTATAATACATAAGATCTATTGTTTTATTTGCCTATTAGAAATCATTTTATCTATTTAGGGAGCCCTCAACATTGGTGACAGAACAGTACCTCAGCCACCCATTCTTCAGCTCTCTGTAGAAAAGCTAAACCGGGATGGTGCTTTTCTTATGGATGCTGGCTCTGTAAGTAGGATTTTATATATACTATGAGCAGCAGGAGTCATCTCATTCTCCATAAATAAACCTTCAAAGCAGTATTTTATTAGCCTGGTTTACTTTTAGTATTTTATTGAGGTAAAGGTTTAATGCATACATTATTTACTAATTCCTGTGTTTGAATATACAGGTCATGTTTTTATGGGTTGGAAAGAATTGTGGACAGAACTTTATAAGCCAAGTACTTGGAGCCCCAAACTATGCATCAATACCACAAAATATGGTAAGAACATAACACGGTAAGCAAGGATAGACAGCCTGAGTCCTTCATAGTTTTGGACTACAACTTTCATCAAGCCCAGCCAATATGATAATGGCTAAGGATTTACAAAGTTGTAGGACAATACCATTACAGCAGATGGCAGCATCTAGTCAACCTGGTCTTGAAAATGTTAAATAGGTCAGATCCAGTATGCAGCTGGATGGGAGATCACCATGAAATCCTAAGAATGATTGTAGAGTAGGCAAAGTTAAAAAAAATGTCAAAAGGTAAGAACAAGCCATTTTCATACTATATTGCTACCAAGAAAACAACAAAATATCGTTGCCGAAACCTGAATTTGACTCGAGATTTAAGATGAGGTATCAGTCAGGATATTGTTACCTACTTCTATTCCTTGGTAATGTGACTCCTTAGAACTACCCAAAATTATTTAAGTGTGGCCAACAAAGTACCAGTTGTGCAAACTGAAGTTTTATGGAAATAGACCTACAGAGAGTTTTTGTGATTCTGGCTTTTAGCTATCCTTATGAATGCCTGAGTTTGCAACGTATAATTTAGAAGAACTAAAGTCAATTTCCCAAAAATGTTATCATTAAATGAACAGTTTATGCACTATATGTTTCTGTTTATTGTAACATTCCATTTGCCATGTTATGTACATAAAAATTACCTAAAGTTCCAGTCCCTTTGTCTGTGTGTGTAATATCACATTGAGAAAGAACAGACTTTCTACTTTAATAGTTATTCCTTTCCCACTTAATGTAATAACGAAAAAGATTTTCTATGCAGGTAGACTTCAGCTCATGACTGCAGTTGGGACCATAATTATTGTGGCTAAGCAATGCAGCCATAAAGTGTGACATCTTGTGACCACCTCACCTCTAGCAATGGCAATTCTGGCAGTCTGAGATGCTATCATTAAGCAAAGCCCTTGCCTGGCTGTGACTTCTGACTTACCCATTGACTTTGCTTGTGGGAAACCAGCAGGGAATGTCGTAAATTGTGGTCCTTTGTCTGTGGGAGTTGTAAGGACCTGCCATTAAATTCCCCTCATCTGGTGTCACTGTAACTTTGATTGGTCAATGAACAAACAGTCATAGTTGAGAAGTTAAGTTTGCTTAAGTATTCTTACCCTCGAACCCTCACCACCCTCCAGGCCTTCCGCAAAGCCCTTAAAACCTGGCTGTTCCGACAGGCCTGGGGCTAAAGAGCTGTTGCCCCTGTCTCGAATGGTATGACTGTTGTGTGTTTTAAATTATGCAATTGTTATGCTTTGTTTTTTAAATTTTTTGTCTGTATCCCCCTTCCCTGGTTTGAGTTGTGAGCCGCCCTGAGTCCCCTTCGGGGGAAAAGAGCAGCATATAAATATAATAAACTGAACTGAACTGAACTTATAGTGCTCTGTCTCACAAAAAACACCAAAAAAAAAGATTTACTTTGTTGTGTTCTCAAAGAGAAAAAAGTATACTCTTGCAGAAGTAGCTTAATAAAGTTAGAATCAGTTCATGATGTATAGTATTCTGAATATTTTATAATATTTTGCTCCATTATTACCCCCATTTTTGTTTGTTTTTGACAGACACATCTTCCAGAATTGAACACAGCTGAATCGTCTAGAGTTCTTGCTTTTATTTTCTGGCTAAGGGAGCAAAGGCCTTTCTTTCCTATATTATATATTTTAAAGTAAGTAGATTGCTTGTGGAATTTGATTGGTAGATTGAACGAAAATTTGCATGATTGCCTTTCTGAACACTAAAAATTGCATGCATGCAAGTACCTTAAATTGCAAACTTCCTTCAGTTTATGCCTGGCACAACAAGACACTTTTGCAGAGACAGAAAGCATATTCAGTGCAAAAACAAAACTACTAGCCAAAAGTATTAAGTAACACCATGGAAAGGAATAAAAGAGGACAATGAAGATGATGCAAATGGAATTATGACATTGTTAATATTTATTTGCAGGATTGTTAGCTATTTAGACTCTAAAATAGACAAAGTTCTTTTAGTGTAAATGTTGCACATTAATTCTATGCATACAATAAATGTTAACTAAATATGATCATTGCTGGTCAGTTACCATGATGAATAGTTTTAAAAGGAATAAAGTATATAAGCCTGTACTTATAATGGCTTTCTGTTTATATTTTGAAGGGATGAGAGTCCATGGAAACCAAGTTTCTTACAAAATATGATAGAAGACAGAACAGAATCTGCATTATCATATTATGAATTTCTTTTGCATATTCAGCAAAAATTGAATAAATGATCTCTTTTCTTAAATGGTTCATCTGCTCAAAGGAATGTACCCTCGGTGCAAAACTCTTATTCCTGTAATGCTCCTATAAGTTGTTGGCCTGGTGCAGTTGATGAAAATCTCACTGTGATTCCCTCTCTTCTCCCTCCCCCCCTCCCCCGGCTCCAAAAGAAAAAAGAAAAGCAAATAAAGGACTGTGGAATTTTTAAGTACACTATTGTGTAGTTGTACGTTAAAACTTTAAAATAAATTTGAATATGTTGGTCATCTTTAATTTACTGCAAAAATGTTTCACAGTAATTGTGGCATAAGTTAAAAGGCAATATTGGAGAAATGTTTATAAACTAACTTTTTTACCTTTCATTTTTATTTTTCTGCTTTGTGTTTTGCTGCTAGAATTAAAAATTCCAAGACTTGAGTTTCCAGGAAACTATATTGTCTTGATTATACAGTACATTATTCGTTAAAAGTTGCCTTTTTAAAGGAACAATGAAAAGTACATTGTGAACAAAATACCTGCAGTTTCAATGAGCTTAGTTTCCATTTCTTTTAAACATTGATTATGATAAGAACAAAAGTAAACTTGAAGTAGTCTACTTGGGTTTTAAATGAATATCAAATAATTCATTTGAATATCTTTAGGATGTGTCAGTATTCTAGGTCTTGAAAGATTAATGAGATTACGTTATATTCAGTAAGAATTAAAATTTAAAAAGGTCTGATGCAGCTGAAAAAAATAGTGAACAATATTTGATCCTAGTCTTGGCTGTTAGCATGATGTGTTTGGTCTTAATTCATTGAAAGTAAATAGGGGAACAGACAGTAAACCAAAAACCATTATTTTCGTATTGTTTTATTATTTTTTCAGTCATCTTTTTATAATGGGCTGAGGTTTTCATAAAATCCTTACTGGTTAAATAATACATTGGAGGTGTATTTAATAGCTTGTTGAGATCCGAAGGAGCATCAGTTTTAATAATAATAATTTTGCTATTCAAACATTTTGAGGCTTTAATGGAAAAACTATAGACAGGAACCCTGCTCAATTCAGAATGTTCAAATACTGAGCAGTTATAAAAGAGAAATCTTACTTTTATGGTTCCCTGGAAATTGCTATAATTTAAGTAATAATATAAGTGTATTGACATTTGTAAAACAGAAGGAACTCTGGTGGTATATTATGGCAATCACTGGTTTCTACATTGCCCTTTACTTCACACACACATACACACACACACACACACAGCCCCCAAATTGAATGGAATATTTTTCTGCTGCAAATCCTTCCTGGTAGTTTTGGTAGAATCATTTGCATTGATTTGTTGGTCATTGCTTTAATTTATACAGTTTCACCCATTTGAGGAATGACTAGATCATCATATATGCAAAAAGCCAGTGAAGTTTTTTTTCATGAACTATAGTATTTATCAACTGCCAACTGGAATAGCAATTGTAAGAAATGTTAGCGATACTGTCTGCATCATGATCTATTTAGTTTGTTGGAATGATTTATGAAGATCTGTAGAAAATGGTTGCTCAACATCTGAAAGAAAGGGGGACATTTCTTTAAAATAATTCAGATATCTAAAAAAATTACCTGCTGACTTCAGGAACCTTATAACTGAATTCACTGTTTTAATATTTTTTTAAATTCAGTTATTTTGAAATGTTTTTTTTAGAACACTGGTAATCTAATTTAGAAACATATGATCATGATGAGATATGCACTTGTAAGTTATAGAAATCAGTCAAGTGCTTTAAAATACAATATATAGCGGAGGATTAATTAACTCTTCTCCAAAAAATATACACAAACTTTTGTGTATAAGCCAGCTTTCTGAAAAGAAGGTATAGGCAAAGATTAAGTATAGGGAAGTACCATTTGTATCTGGCATCTCATGCTGGCTGTGGGTTCCTCCTTGCTTCATTCAAGTTGGAGCAGAGAATTGGTGTGATCAGATTCTGTAGAACCTGAATGGTAAAATCCAGACAAGCAGCACCCTGCCTAACATCTGTATTTAAAAAATATTCTGCATGGAAAGGAGGGGAAAACATGATGTTGACATAGGTCTACTTCATGTGGGATAAAAATAATGGGCTTTGATTGAATTATGGAACCTGATAAACAGATTTCAAGAATGCATCCCTAACTAACTCTAAAAAAAAGTTAACTGAGCATATTATGCTCTTTGGATAGAATATTGTTTAGAATGTTCATGCACTTTGAAATAGAAGTGAATTTTCTAATTCTTTCTGAGGAGAAAATTGATATCCTCCTCAACTTCTTAAGAAATCCAGGGCAAATCCATGTATAAATGTTAAATCACAATTTATATATGTTTTAGGTTCTTTAATAACATAAGTAATCAAGAGTAGCCTTGATGCTCCCATCTCAGCATGGCAGTCACCAGCAAATGTTCTCTATTTTTCTAGTTCAATATTTTAAAGAATAATTAGTATAATTTATCAATATTCTAGATTTGATCGTGCAACAACATATTAGCATTTACTTTTCTGTAACTTAATTTGCGTTTGGATAAATTCTGATTGTTTTGCAATAATGTGGAAAAACTTGTTTATTCAAGGTTAATATAACATTATATATATATATATATATATATATATTCAGAATATCAAGGGACCATCAAATGTGACTAGCCTTCTCTCCACTAACTACATATTAAAATCTTACAGTCAATTTGATTTTGTAAAGTAGTGTAAAATATTGTAATATTAATCTTTGTTTTCTGATCTCAGACATTGATCTTTAGTGTGCAATTGTAAACCTTGCTCTTCTGAATATATATATATATATATNGAGTTGTGAGCCGCCCTGAGTCCCCTTCGGGGGGAAAGGGCAGCATATAAATACAATAAACTGAACTGAACTGAAGTCTGCAAACCTCACATTTAAATCCCTGTGAAGCCTTTTCTTCAACATTTTCTTTTTAGACTTTAAAACGACAATTTAATGTACTTAAGGGAATGGCTGGTGCCTAATATACTTATCAGTCAGAGCTTGAAATCATGAGAAATGGTAGAGACAGAACAATTAACCTATTGCAGCAGTCTATAGGCCCTCATCCACCTCTATTATCAGTTGCCATTGGGGTGACAGTGTGATCTCCATTTCAACTAACTTTTCTTTTTCACCTTTTGAGATTACTAATCTTTAGTACTTTAAATCAGGGGTCTCCAATTTCCAGGGCACGGTTTTTAGTACTAGGCTGCGGCCCGTTCGGAACTGGGCTGCTCAAGTGGCAGGCGTGCACGCACAGCTCCACTTGCGCAAGTGACACATGCATACACCGTTTGCGCTGAACCATTCACTCTCTCCCTGCCCCCCTAGGCTGCAAAGCCAGTTTGCGCCCACTCGCCCCTGCACTTTACTGACCTATATCTTCTCAGCTGATTCGCGTGGCAGACTGGATTTCCGCTCCTTAGCTGTGTTACTCCCCAGCAGTAACACAGAAGGTAAGTTTACTTAAACCTGTGTAAAGCGTGCGATCACCGAACCGGTTGTTAAACCGGCAAGATCCCACCACTGGATGACTTAGAATGCTGGTTAGAAGCAGACCAGAAATTAAAAGGGTAATTAGGATTTAGAGGCAGCCTACAGAGGTGGAATTGGTGGGAGGGGGAGATGGGAGTCAGCATCAGCAAGCAAGGAATACTAAGCAGACCATATTGCTATACAAAGTTCAGCTGAAACCTCCAAAAAGATTTAATCATGATCAGTTAAAAAAAAAAACACCACACGCAACCTCTTACTAGAAAGGAATTGTTTCAAAGGAGGAGAGAATGTCAACAAAATTCTCAAAGGTGGAATACGATCCTCTTGCATAAATTTTGTTAAAACATAATGGAAGAGTTCTGGGTGGATTCCTTCTCTACGGTAACCCCTCCAATCTATAGCCTCCCTGGCTTCCCATATTTCAATTAAATCAGCACTGAACTGAAACGTGGATAAAATGTAATCTTAAGGTACTTAGCAAAACCTCTAATTGATTTCCTGGAATTACTTAAAATAATAGCCTTATTTAATTAGTAGCATTCTGGAAGAATACTTTTAGAAAAACCTTGGGAGATTCTTTAGACTAAAAAAAAAAAAAAAGATTGGTGTTTAACATTGAGGGGGGGAAAATCCTCTCATGCATTACACATGAGCTTGTCCAGAACAATAAAGCGAAATAATCAAATTTCAAAGAATGAACACCTTCAGTTGAACAATGCATTTATTCTGCTGCTAAATACAAATAAGAATGGTTGGGTGGGGGAACTGAAAAAGGAAACAAGATATGCATATTTATAGGTGTGTCTCCCCTTCTGGGGCACAGAGCTTGAGAAAAAGCACAGAAGCAATTCTCATTAAAGATATGGATAAAAAAGAAAGAAAGTGGCAGAGGTCAGGTGCAAAATCTGAGCACCCTACAAGGTCAGGCAGGAAAGGTCAAGAAAGGTCATCTTACATGAGCGAAATCTTAACACTGGGCTTTAAACTCCTTCCCAACCTTTTGACAGTCCAGCACAACTCAAGTAACGGCAGTTCTGGTTAGTGCAAGCCAGAGATTTCTCTCATATTCAAACCATGAAACTGTGGTTTCCGATTCTTATTTAAAGAGCCATTTTAAACCGTGCCTCTTTGGTTTCAGTTTCGGGTGCAAGAAAGAAAGCAGCAAATGACTTGATTGCTTGAAAAAACCAAGAAGTGTGTGTG